TAAATTCTCTAATAATTAAAATCTATAATAATAATTAGAAATAGTAACCAAGTCCTATAATTCTGTATAAAAAAATTTGTTGTCTGGAGCAAAGCAGAGGACACTCTGTTTTTGCAATACTAAGTAATCTTTATTGTCACGTAAAGTTGTCTGTTTGTTCATTGATGTTGATTGGCTGGATATGGAGATATTTCATTTTAGATTCATATTTGCTCCGGATACACAGTGCTATGCATTTCTTAGTGATATATTCTAGAGCTCTAATTGACTCTAGTTACTCAGACCAAATCAAATTACATCTCAATCAAAGCTTACTAGCTAGAGTACAGAGAAAGGATTTTGTAAATTTACTAGATTCTGTATTGGATTTTAGTGTAGTAGCGACTCTTGTTAGTTTAGTTTTTATTGCAGAGATATCAATTTTTACCATTACACTATCCAGAAATCGAGCCAGTCCTGTTCTTTTTAGAATAAATCAAAGGATTAGTAGTCCTAATAGTAAATATCAAATAAATCATATATTATTTTGATAATATACATTTTAAAACAACTATAAAATATTATTTTTAGTTAAAATTCTAAACAAAGTTTGTTATTGTCAATTACAAATCTCTTAGTTTGTTAAACAAGTTTAAACTATGTATAATATATAATAAGAATAGGCTGCTGTTAATAAATAATAAACTTATTAATAATAGCAATAAAGTGATTAATTAATTTACAATTTGCACTATAAATATAAAACAAATCCAAGTTTTATTTAAAAATAATGTTAAGTAGTTAAAAATAACAAAATATATGAGTATGTAAGAGTAAAAATCTGGAAACTGATTTAATAATTTTCTATAATCGGTTTTCAGGTTTTTATTTTCACGCATTCATATTCTCAATTAATTTTAATCACAATATTCATATTTTATGAAGTAAATTATAGAAGCCCTTCAATTCTAATTTAGTATAAAATAAAGTACAGGAATTAATCATAGTTGGAACATAATAATATATAGTTATTGGATACGAAGCAGCCAATAACAAAAATTATCTAGCAAACTCTTATAATCATGAATTGCTATTTGTTTTGTTATTTTTTCATGTGTTATGATATAAATATATTTATTCAAATTAAAACTCAGTCATTACTTCTTACTAATCATGATCATAAATTACTAGATAATACTAATATTGAAAAATTTGTTGAATATGATAATTTGGCTCAATCGAACAAATAATTGGCTTATGTACTACTTTAAAACACATTTTATTTGTTCCAGTTTAGCCAAATTATTGTTATTCAACAAATTTTGCCCAATATTGTATACTTATTTGTAAAATAATTTTATTATCTGACTGTGAAATTTAATATATTCTCTTTGGAGTCCAAAAATAACATATATTAAATTTATTGCCAAATAAACAAGTTATTGGCTGAGTAGCATTCAATAATATTATTATCTAGTATCTTACACAACTGAACCAACAAAATAACTTGAGTTCTTTTGATGATAATTGTGTTATTTGATTATGATGCAATCTGTTTAATAAAAGCTAAAAGACTTTAACTCTGTAAAATTGGGTCTTTGACCACTTTAGCACTATGAATTAGGTTAAGATGATGTAATTATTATCACATAGTTCTTGGTAAATTCTTGTACTTGGTAAGAGAAATGTTAGTTGCTAATAAGTTGTATAGTGAACCCAAAAGGATAAAGAAAGGTTAGAAATATATATCGACAGTATTACATGATAGAACAATTAGAGACAATATTATAACAGGGTTGATAATATTAGATAGTATTATCAAAGTCACATGATATGTGATCATCAATTAACATAATAATGATGATAATACAATATAATTAGAAAGTTAATTAAAAGTTTATTAAAGTATAGAATAGCATAAATCATGTAATTAGATTAGAATAAATATAAATAGAGACAATAAATAAAAAAAAGTAGTTAGTAATTGTTGTAACTAAAAATGTTATAGTAAAGAAATATAGTGATACTTAGCTATGAAAGTTGTAATATGTTGTGTTTTGAGTATTATCAAAGTGTTTGAGTAGCATACTTTTGGACTAGATAACAGAAAACCAGATACTGTATAACCTTGTGACTGAGAAGGATCTGGGCAATAACCTTATAAAGAAAAAGAAAAGTAAAAAAAATAAATATCAGCTTGAGTATTAAAAATAATACAAGTGAAGAAATACGATTACATATATAATAATCAACAAATAAAGAAAAGGATATACATTTTTGAAAGTGATCAATCATGTTAACGAAAGACCTAATGAAGCTATTTTATTATGGTTGTGAGAATAAAAATATAAAAGATTTTCTTTTTGACTTTGAGATATATGCCAAATCAAAGCAATTGGATAATAATCGTAAGTTAAAAATTGTAGGCCTATATATCTTATAAAAAGTAAAGGTTTGGATACGAGAATTAATAAAAATTAGTACAGCATAGTCAAATTTAAAAGCTGCAATTGTAAAGATGACCAAAACTAAATATTCAACTAAGAAAAAAATTGTCAGGTTGATGCGAATCAAACAAGAACAAGATGAATTGATGACAAAATATACGAATAGGTTTGAAACTTGTACAGAGCTTTTGAAAAATAATGTGTAGGTATATAAAAAGTGAAAATAGTATATAGTTGAGTTGAGAATTAAACTAAGAACAAAAATTTAGTTAAACTTTCTGGCCAATTTTGATGAAACCAAGAATTTGACGATAAAGATTGAAGCATATAGCAAAGATAATGAGTATGATACTAAAAGAGTAGCTAAAACATTGGTTAAAAAATCAAAAGGGGTTAATAATTTTGATATTGATAGTTTGACAACTGCGATGAAAAGTTTGAAAATTTTTAGAGTTGAAAAGAAGGCCAATGAAGATATATAAAAAATAAAAGTTGCTATAAAGCAATTAACAAAAGTGGTAATAGATCGTACAGTTAGGAGTTCTTCTTAACAGTGATATGATC